CCTGCAGATCCATACACACGTGCGCCACGAATTGTTCATGACGCGCGTTCTGCATGTTTGTTTGTGTCCTGCGATGTCTTGAATTTTGTGTTTCATGGTTTCATGAAACTGTCTTGACTTTTCTTATTGAGGGCGCATAGCAAGCCCTTGGCATGCCTTGACCGAACTTGTCAATCATCGATAACCCTTGGCTGCCCTTTGCAAGCCTTGAGCCGCGTCGAAGCCTGTCAAGGCTTGGGGCTGCTGTCAAGGGTTGAACGCTGACCAACTGGATCTTCAAATTTGTGGATGCCACGACAACGGACACCCTAACAGTCCTAGCATTGAGTTTACAATTTAAACTGTCGGAAAAAATTATAAACATGTTTGAAACATGTTTTTACATGTTTAACACATGTTTTAAACATCTGAAAATTGTGTGGCAACATGCTTCCTCTTCATCGTCCTCCGCAACTCCAAGGTAACATCGGTTTGGGCGCAAGAGCCAGGGATGCCAGCGAAGGAACGCGGTGCACAAGCGCTCCAGCATCCCCTATCGGGAGCGGCCAAGAGGGGGGTGTCCAAGAGGGGGGGGTGCAAATCATTACCGGCGGCATGTGCGCGGCCCAGCGGGGGGCCAGGGACGTAACAAGATGAGAAGAGGCGCCATGAAATCTGAGGAAACATTATGGCCCCCGCCATGCCCCACTCTGCGGTTGCTCTCCCGGGTCGTCCACCTTGCGGGGGGCAATTTTTGGCGAGCGGGGTATGCATGACGAGATTGGCAAGCCTTCCCTGTGCATGGAGCCAGCGACGCCGGAGGCTTCGCATCGCATTTCGCTGTGGTTTTTTGCCAATGCACCTCTGACGTGCACGGCTTCTCTCTCTCTCTCATGATATCCAGCCCCCCTAGCCATCACCCCCCTCTTTTCCGCCCCCGACCCTAGCTTGGGGAGGACGGGGCGCGTGCGCACCGCGCCTCGTGGCTGGCTGGGCCGCTGTCGCGCATGTACAGTACTTCTCGAGGTCGGCACGGCACACGCGCCGGGGGCGGCGCGCCGGAGGCTCCGCCAAAGGGGGGCCCAGAGCCAGCCCGAGAAGCCCCCACGAATTTCCGGCGCCTCCTCCTCCTCCTCCTCCTCCTCCTCCTCCTCCTCTTCCTCCTCTTCCTCCTCTTCCCCTTTCGCCTCGTCCTCCCCCCTCTCCTCCTCTTTCCTCCTCCTCCTCCTCCTCCTCCTCCTCTTCCTCTTCCCCTTTCGCCTCGTCCTCCCCCCTCTCCTCCTCTTTCCTTCCCCGACCTCCGATCAATGGGGGGGACACACAATCCACCCCCATAACAGCCACCCCGACAAGCGAGGGTGTTCAGTCAGCGAGCCCAAAGGAGGGATCGAGCAGGGCAGGGCGAGAGCAAGAAAACGCCCAAGACCGTGCAGCAAACGCCAGTTGTCCGGCCCGGGTGATTTTTCCTCCCTTGGCTTATGTTGCTCCCATCGTACTCAAGGACCACATCACAGAAATGATTTCGAGCACTCGGGAACGTGTCGAAAGAGTGTCGAGACAGTGTCGGACGAGTGTCGCCCGGGGCCCGACACGTGAAAACCCTCGAGCTTCGGTATTTCTTCTGGTGCTCAAAACTCTTTCTGGTGATCGATGCGAAAGCAGGGTGGAACATCATAATCGAACGGCAGGATGAGTCCAGAGGCAAGAAAATACACCATAAACATGAACTTGAAGCGCTCCGCGCGGATTTCTTGGATCTGCGCTGGACCCCCCTGCCTGGCGCGCGGAGCGCGCCAGGGGCGGCGCCCGAGGCGCCGCCAGGGGGCCCAGTGCGGGTCCAAGAAATCCGCGCGAAGCGCCAAAAGCTTCTGTCTATGGCGTATTTCTTCTCAGAAAGTCAGCATCGAATCTGAATCTCAAACGGGATCGGGGCGTGCGTCCGCTCGGGCCGCAGCAGCACGGGGCCAAGGCCGCATCGGATCGGCCGTATCGGGACACGACTGCGCCGTGCAGGCTCCATGGGGCCGCACGGGATCGAGGGCAAAAAGAACGAAGGGGCTCAGGGACACACACACACACACACCTAGATAGACACAAATCCCAGGAGTTCCCATATTTATCCATATTTTCTGGAGTTTCGTCTTCGCCCCCACTCCCAATACCTTCCCATATTTTCCGGGGAATCGACGATCATTTGTGTCTGTGTTTTTTCCCTCCTGGAAGAATCACGCACCCCGAGGCAAGGAAAACTCCAAGAACCGACGAGCACGCCAGGAAACCCAGTCGGGCCAAAAGCAATCGGACCAGTCGATCGGATCGGCACGGGCGAGGGGACGCGGTGGGCGCGGACCCGCTCTGGGGGCGAGGCAGGGACCCAGCATCGGCGAGACGCCGCCGACGGATCGGCGGCAGGCCCCTGGCAGCAGAGCCACGTGCTCCTGGGCGGGGTGGGCCATCGGGCCCCCGTCGGCGATCACTGGGCGATCGGGAACCAGTGCCTTGCCCCCGAGCCTCATTAAAG